CTGAATTGAGAGCAGTAAGCGGGATTCCGGCCTGCCAGGGAATGCGTTGGCCAAATCTTCACAACTCCGTCAGGTGCTAGAACAATGACATACGTTTAAGCAACCCAAAATTCTAGTATTCATGTGGTATCAGGGCGCACTTGACTCGGTTGGTCGCTCTCGACACGCTTGCCCACCGAGGAATGCCCCGGAAGTTTGTGAAAACAATACATTCATGGTATTTCGAGACTTTCTAACGTGAAATTATACAGGGAGCTCTCCAAAAGCTTCCGTTCACAAAGCGGTGTCCGCCAGGGATGCTCAATCTTTCGATTCATCTTTAAGTTCGTGATCGATGAAATCATGAACGAATGCTGGAAGACCTCGAATATCCTGGTGTTCAAATAGCCTGTGAAGAAAACCTTGTCGCTCTGGAGGGGGCGAGTCGGACCAGGTGGTTAGAGCGCGAATTTACTGACCGGAAAGTCCGTGGTTCGAACCCGACCTCCGCCTCTCGACTTTCCTTGTCTAGGCTTGGGCAACCTGGCAGTATCCCAGCCCTCGTGCCTACTTCGTGTGGCACGCAGCTAGGCACCGAAAGGCTGCTACAGCTGAACGATTTGTCGCTCTGGAGTGTACTGAGGACATCGTTCTCATCTTCGAAGAGAAAAAGGTGCAGGTGTTTTTCGGTGAACTGGTCAAAGTCATCCCGTCCTTTGGTACGCACTTTGCGCCCACAAAGTGTAAGGTCATGCTCCTGGACAAGTAATCACTAAACACGCCACTTACAGTCCAGGGAGGGTAACTGGAAGTTGTGGAGCATTTCACGCATAATGAAAGTTTTACTACTGCTGTAGTGTGATGGATGAGGTCAATGCACGAATCTCCCAGGCCTGGGTCGCATTCGCTAATTTTAAGCGCCTACGGCGTCAAAATGCTGTATCCCTGAGTCAAAATGGACGTTTGTATCAAGCCACAGTACGGACTGTTTCGTTGTATTCCTGAGACTTGGCCTGTTCGAGCAGCGGAACTGAGACATCTTCAAGTGTTCGACAATCGTTGTCTGAGAACCATAGCTCGTGTGGGTTGGTGTCGGCGAATCCGTAACGAGGCAGTTAGAAAGCGAGTGTTCGGTTGTGCAGCGGGTATTTCCATTAAAGAATGCGTGCGGAACCAGAAGCTGCGTTGGTTGGGACATGTGTTGCGAACTCTTGACCATCGCTTGCCAAACGGGGTGTTGTTTTCCATGTTTTTCGAATTCAGGGTGACGGAAGTGGAGGGGTGGTCAAAACATAATATGAAAGGGGTTACGAAACGTTTGGGTGCTGTCGGTGTTACTCACATTCCAGGATGAGGATCGCGTAATCCCCAATGCGCCTCGCCGGAGACACTACAAGATATGGCTCCTAACCGATGTCAGTGGCGTTCCTGTCAGTTTCTATGCAGCTTGCCGGGATAAACGTCCGGAGGTGTAGGGACCTATAATGATTGTAGTTAGCTGACAATTGGTTCCTTACTCGTCCACCCTTATTTGTCTCTTTACAATAAAGCTTTAAAATAAATCATGGTTGTACGGCAGTGACGAATCGGTGCTGAACACTGATGTCATGCTGTCGATGATGATGGTGATGACGTAGTCCACGGATTTATGGCCGTCAACCATTTACGTAGCAGTTCGCCGAACACACTTAACGAGAGTTACGTCTTTCGTGGGTCCCGAGTAGACAATTTGCCTGGCATATTAAAGAAACAGTTTGACGTAGGCCCCAGAGTATCTGGAAGTCCTTGCAAGTAATATGGAAGGTGAGCCGAACCATCCGTAGGACGGCGAATGACTTTGGGCTGATTTCACATGGTGCAGTGAGGACATGTTTGAAGAGAGCCAGATACCCAAATCCTTTTTGGCATCTATCCTCATGATATCTTCTGGTACATTCTCACCATGCATGACAAAGGTGTCATCATGATTGTCAGCTATAATAACCACGTATCTGCCGTACAGTGGTTGTAGCTGCCACAGTTCCGTTCACCGATGATTCGGGGAGGTGGGGTAGGTAGCTATGCATCGGAGGCGGGAGCTGATAAATTAGTGCGCAAGTGCAGCACCGTAGGTGAACTATTAAGTGGGGAGATTGGGAAGGGAGTTATGCATTGAAGACAATAGCTTGGATGCATGAGCGCCATTGAGGGTGCGACTGGGCCATGTCTGACAATGTCTCTAACCATTGATATGGCCCGTCTCGGGGTCCCCATCCGGGAAGACGACAATGACCAGCGCAGCTGAGTTTGGTGGTAATGGCTTTTATATTTTTACATATTTTTAAAAAATGCAAGCTTATCTTGTGTCTTCTTCAGTCAAGTTTTTGAAAATAGTTGAAACTCCTTTTCCAGAAAACGCCAAATCACTTTAGGCAGCTTGCGGCCCATCCGACTGCATGCTGGTTTCATTGGGACGAACATCGCGTCAACCTTGTCAACTTTCTAGACAATAGCCTGTCTTGACGAATAACCTAACGGCATGGTACTTACCTTGTTTTCCCAACGCTATTGCAACACTCCTCTGTCGTTGAACCACTACATTGCATAGTTCGCCATCCTCTCAGGTGGGTTCCAACTCCAGTGCCACCAGGATCTACTGCACGAAAGCCACCGGTCACTTCAAATAATTTACTCAAAATGCAACCGAGACATCCACCTTACGGCTGGCGGGCACCTAATAAATTGAATATGGGCCAGTCACATTCCACTGGCTGCATTTTTTCCGGGAAGGCCTGAGTTGGTTGTAGTGGCTATTCACAATACAACTTTTTCTACCGGACCATATTCCATCGAATCAAAATTGTTCGTTTTTTGCGTGTGGCGCTTTTTTCATAAGCCAGACAACGGAGATTTTTGAATTGGTTCTTGGTTAGCTGCCGAAGGTCATCAACCAGTTTCAATGCACATAACATTCTCACCATGCATGACAAAGGTGTCATCATGATTGTCAGCTATAATAACCACGTATCTGCCGTACAGTGGTTGTAGCTGCCACAGTTCCGTTCACCGATGATTCGGGGAGGTGGGGTAGGTAGCTATGCATCGGAGGCGGGAGCTGATAAATTAGTGCGCAAGTGCAGCACCGTAGGTGAACTATTAAGTGGGGAGATTGGGAAGGGAGTTATGCATTGAAGACAATAGCTTGGATGCATGAGCGCCATTGAGGGTGCGACTGGGCCATGTCTGACAATGTCTCTAACCATTGATATGGCCCGTCTCGGGGTCCCCATCCGGGAAGACGACAATGACCAGCGCAGCTGAGTTTGGTGGTAATGGCTTTTATATTTTTACATATTTTTAAAAAATGCAAGCTTATCTTGTGTCTTCTTCAGTCAAGTTTTTGAAAATAGTTGAAACTCCTTTTCCAGAAAACGCCAAATCACTTTAGGCAGCTTGCGGCCCATCCGACTGCATGCTGGTTTCATTGGGACGAACATCGCGTCAACCTTGTCAACTTTCTAGACAATAGCCTGTCTTGACGAATAACCTAACGGCATGGTACTTACCTTGTTTTCCCAACGCTATTGCAACACCCCTCTGTCGTTGAACCACTACATTGCATAGTTCGCCATCCTCTCAGGTGGGTTCCAACTCCAGTGCCACCAGGATCTACTGCACGAAAGCCACCGGTCACTTCAAATAATTTACTCAAAATGCAACCGAGACATCCACCTTACGGCTGGCGGGCACCTAATAAATTGAATATGGGCCAGTCACATTCCACTGGCTGCATTTTTTCCGGGAAGGCCTGAGTTGGTTGTAGTGGCTATTCACAATACAACTTTTTCTACCGGACCATATTCCATCGAATCAAAATTGTTCGTTTTTTGCGTGTGGCGCTTTTTTCATAAGCCAGACAACGGAGATTTTTGAATTGGTTCTTGGTTAGCTGCCGAAGGTCATCAACCAGTTTCAATGCACATAAATAGAGGACGAATTGGCAGCAGTACCTTCACTATTACCACATCTTTTCGATTTTTTCATTTTTGGCACCTATGAGGAGCCCACGAAAGGCTACGTAAGATTTTAATAACAAATATAACTTTACATTGGTTTCCTTGCACCGCAACAGCGCTTTTTACCGTTTGTTCCAGTTGCACTCCGTCTTGGCCCAAGGTGTAACTTTTTTTATATCTAAGCCCCGATGACTTAGTCTCCACAAACTGAACATACACGATGAATACCTCGTTTTCGACTGCATATTTATACATGGTCGCTAAATGGCGCTCTAGGTACCACTGATTTGTGTCAGCAACACTCTCAGCACATGCATGTAGAGACCGATAGTCGCCGAGGAATGTATTTTGAAAAACGTTACACCTCGGGCAAAGACAGAGTGCGGCTGGAACAAACACTCAAAGCCGCTGTTGCAGTGCATATAAACCAAATTAAGGTTCTACTGGTTATTAAAAACCTACGGAGCCTTTCATGAACTACTCACAGGTCACAAAAATGGAAAATCGAAAAGTTGTGATGATAGTGATTCACGGATTCACGGATATTCGTCTGCCAATGACAACCAGCGATCGTTGAACATACCAGTATAATTACACACACAATTTGCATAAATCGCCAGTGCAACCAACAAGGCGCACACGGAACCGACCGGAAGCGACTTGTAAGTAAAGTGTTGAAAGACCTCTGGAACCTCAAGGTCAGAATAGGTCTCATTGGATGGATAAAACTAGGTGTCATGCAGTTTGGGAAGACCGGTGTAACCGAAGTTGACTCTATTCCCATAGTAAATTTGTCGTGTAGATTCAGAACATCCATACCATCATCAAACTCACTGACTTTGACCCGTTCCCTTACCACGAAAGTGTCATCTACACAACGTCAGAATATCCCAGGTGGTTACGGCAATCCGGCTCCAAAGTATTTGCCACATAAAGGGATACTGGAGACGCCACCGCTAGAACTTGCTCTTGAGTATGAATTACGGAGTCGGAAACGAAATGGGTGAGATTCAAGCGTGTTTTTACCCTTTCCAGCCTGAGGGGTTGGTGTCTGCTAGTAACAGTCGCTTGGCCATTTCTAAAGTGTCAGCTTTTGACATATTTGTAAATACCGAAGTGTCAGTGAGACGTAGAAGGATGTTATCTGGCTTCACCATGATACATGCTCCGTTGTTGCCGAGTCGCATGAAATAAAATGCAAGTACTAGATTCCCCGGTGAAGTTTTTAAAATACCTGCCAGGAATCTGCCAGCTCATGCACTGGGGAACCTACTCCGTCTACTTTCGTTCGCACCGGCACATCTGGTCATCGGATTTTCGGTAGGCCTCAAAGCCATGGTTGGATTGCACTTCTGGGGAAAAATCGATGCCGATTGACTTCTCCTAAGTGTTTCATCACCGACCGCAGCTCTATGGCAAATTAGGCTTTACTCGGTTTCATTATGGATGTATCACTCCCACAACCGATCTGTCGGCAAGCAACTCCAGCTAGGTGCCTGCTGGCCTTCTGTAGATAGTCCGTCTTGGTCTTGACAGAAATGGCTTTCCTTTTGTCTCAGCTCGGAGCTCTTAGCTGCTTAGACTCGGACACTGGACCCATTTGTACACGAAGCTGCTCGGCCTCTGTTGGCAAAATTTTTTAAAACACAGATATGATGCTATGGATTAATTCTCCCGACATTCTCACCACTTGGCTTACTGCAAAATTCATATCCTTCTCTACCAGACAGTTCCGAAAGTTCTTTTTACCGATGGTGAAACCCAACAGGTAACGGATCGGCTCGAGCGTTATTTCATATAAACCGGGAACATCGAAGGTATTCTAAACACGGCTAACATAACAACAGCTTTTCAGAAATGGAACACTTTAACCTCTGTTGTAATACAACTGATGGATCGATCCCTGGTGAACAGAACCAGGGATTGCATCTACAAAATTAGGTTTAACGACTGATTTAAGATTATTATAGAACAGACGGCCCGGGAACTTCAGCGGAAAAATAGGCAGACCACCGAGTAACAGCGATAGATATCGAGCGCTACTGAGATACTCGGTGATGGTGGAACACGCAGCGACAACGGGATAAAACTAGACTTATAGCATGCTAAGTTTTGAGACATCTAATTCCACCCACCCACCCCCTCCTCAATCGAACGGTCTTAGCATTCACAAGCCCATAGAAACCAATGAATTCTGGCGGCGGCACCCAAGGTAAGTCACCGAGTCAGGAACCTTGATGTGAGAAAATAGCAAGCTTAACTGCATCCGAAATAATTTGACTCTCTCCCCAACCGTCAATAGCAAGATTTAGTTAACTACACTGATCGATAAGACTCTATAATTGACGTTCAACACCGATTCAGTGTGTGAATCCGAAGTGGCCCACTGGAAGGTTTTCCGTTAGCCTTGAAAGCTGGCCAGATTAGTAGCCTGCTCTTTGACCTGATGAACAGTTTGTGACAAGGGAAACTTTGCCCAATTAAAAACTACCGATTGTTTACCAAGTAGTAGGTCGAGCCTATTTTCACCCGGAATGTTCTATCTGAGAGGAACGCCTTAATCCAGCGTAGAAGTTTCTCTTCAATTCCGTGAGACATTAGGTTGTGGAGCAACAGGACGTGTAGGACTCAACCGAATGCTTCCAAAAATCTGTGAATATTGTTTCCGGTATGAGTCTCCGTTCTCTAACTTGGGTTAAGGCATTCAAATTTAGGTGTGTTCGTCATGCGAGGAACGGTTTTAGAGGAACCCTTGCTCGGCTATTAATACCAAGTTTTTTAGTGGTAAGATTATTTTTGTTGACTTACTTCATGTCACGTTTGCTTGTGAGACTCACGGGCCTGTAGCTTTCGGACGATGTTCGGTCACTAGTGCTGTAGATTGACATGAAAGTTGCCTCCTTTCTAGGAACGAGAATGTTGCTTTTGTTTAACGGCTAACGAACCATCGGATAGGATTTCTTTGCTATATGTGTTACGTTTCCTTCAGATCCCTTCTATGGACCGCGTCTGGCCTCGCTGCGCATAGGACCAAACGCGCATCTTAAGTAGACTCGTTGAGCTTGTATAACAGGCACATTGAAATTGCCAAAAATGAATGGTTTGTCCGCAGAGTCCATTCAGCTTGTTTGATCAAACCAATGTCGGGCGACCCTGCCATGCAAACAGTTTGTTTGTACTTGCAGGCAAAGAAAAGAGTGGTCGAGAGGGCATGGTCAAGAGTTCGAGGTGTATTGTTACAAACGCGCCACCAGACCGAGTATGTGAGTGGCATGCCATCATCGCACTGACACATGAATTTCTGGAAAGCTTCGTAACGGACAACATATTTGAAATAATCGAACTGGGGGTGTGAGATCAGCGAGATATTTTGGTTTGTGGTGTAAGTATTTTGGAGGAGAACAAATGTAATGATGGTTCCTAGGCAGTTCCGGTTCATTTGGGAATCCTTTCATATGCAAAGCACAGGACAGGGAGAATAGATGCCTATCACACGTGGCGTTTGAAGCTTGGGAAGAAGAGCGGCAAGATTGGTGGAGGGGTGTGCGACTAGAAGCCCTAAAGTTTGGTTGTTTCGGTTTCCAAGTAACCAATCTCGGTGAGACCGTGCGTAATTAGGCTCTGTTATGACAACATGAATGGGCGTCCGCACCGGTTTGTTGCACGAGTGTTCTGAGGAACAACACCAACAGGATCAGCCTGACTCTCTTGGTCAGCTAGGGTGATCTTGATGGTCTTGCTTCCTGCTTTAGAGAGCCAGCTAACCGTCTCTGCAATCAAAATATGATGGATGGAGAGCGTTAGGTATTTTTTCGGGGAGGAATGCTTGTTATCAACTTTCGTCCAGACCGCTTTGTTCTTTGTATTTGCGACTCAAAATCTTTCACAAATGTTTTTGTTTATTCCGGAGAATTTTGAATAAAATGTGTTTCATTCGTTTCATTTTTTGCCGCCGTTTTGCCCGTCGTGAAGTGCATAGCACTCCTGAGTTAGAAGTAGCCGCCCCATACAATCGAAACGGAAGAGCTGGATATTTGAAATAAGTGTTCATCCAACAGACCTGCACATTAGGCCAAGCAAGTGTGACGTTGCATCCTACCCCGCACATTCGGTGCAAATCCATTTCTTCTGCATCAGTTCGGTCCACCGATAGCCGTGAACGGGACAGCCTGTGTTGGTCTGGTATGGGAGTAAATAGGTGCGCCACAGTACAGTAAGATGGAGCGAGACATGCACAGGTTATTTTTTAGTGGTACACGTAAAAAAGTGATACGCGTCGGCTCTGGAAATAGATTAAGCGGCGAAAGACTTCTTTAACAAATTGGAACGAGCGAAAAGCGAAATAAGTTTCGTTTTTTACTGCGGTCAAGTTCGTTGCAGAAAATGAGTGCATCGATTGTAGGGGTTAACTGGAGTAAAATTTGCAATCCCTAAGGTTGCGCAAGGCCACCTCCGGAGGGTATTGCGGAACACACTAGTTGACCTTTGCAACATAATCAGCTGGTCGGTCTAAACAAACATCATAACGGCTGACGTAGCACGCGGCCTGTGGCTTAGACCGTCAAACACTTGAAAATTTTGGAGGGGTCAAACTCAGCTCACTCCAGAATTATTGAAGATCAAGTGTTTGGTCGTCTTAATTTGGGTTTTAGCAATTGGATTATAGTTTCGTTCATTGGTCAGCTTTGTGTTCAAGCCTATAAGGACACACACGAGCGCTGCATCGGTGCTTTGATAACGAACGATTAGGCATGTTCGTTTCATGGCTTAGCAGTTTGGTTTAGCATCCGGGTTCACAAAATTTGTGCCCTTTAACTTCCCGCCTCTCGCCAACCAGACCACGGACACGAGCATCGCTGACGACGATCAGCTGCCCCAGGCAACATTACTGAACATGGATGCTCCCGCTCTCCAGCAGACGGAAATCTCCGACGGACTTGTAACATCGGGCGCCGAGGTTCTCGCCTAAATTATCTGCCTCATGGAATAGTTATGTTGAATTCCATTTCAGGATGGATACTGGTCGGTCAAATGCTACATCACTTTTCCAGTTAGCAAGCGGTTAAGTGAATGTTTTCAGTGATGGCATTCGTACATTCCGTGTGGGCCGCGTGACCCTATTGTGTCAGCGCACTGAAACAATGAACGCCATCGGTGTGTTACTTCTTCGATGGGTTCGCCAAAAGCTACCACAAACCACGCAAATATTGCACATTTAATTTTTTGTCACTTTCTATCGGACGTACTTGAATCAATTATTTTAGTTACGGTGTTCTTCGATTACGCGGCCCGTGGGCAGCAGGACTTTTAATCAATGTAACCTTCGTTGGTTTATGTGAAGCGCCAGAGTTTTCACTTAGTTTGTTACAAGCAGACTCTGTTTTATGGGTTCGCCAAAAGCTACCACAAACCACGCAAATATTGCACATTTAATTTTTTGTCACTTTCTATCGGACGTACTTGAATCAATTATTTTAGTTACGGTGTTCTTCGATTACGCGGCCCGTGGGCAGCAGGACTTTTAATCAATGTAACCTTCGTTGGTTTATATGAAGCGCCAGAGTTTTCACTTAGTTTGTTACAAGCAGACTCTGTTTTTGCCAACGGCATAGCATTTTCCACTGCGTAAACTCCGGCGACTCACACGGCTGACACATGCCCAGCGTATTCACATTAAGTACAATAAATGCACCTGCAACTCACAGTGAAACCATACTACGCCAGCCCACTAAACGCACATATTGTAACTTGGCGCGCCATTTCCGATCACACTTGCGTTTGAGTCACCTAATTCGGTAGGCGTAACACAACAGCTAACAGTCACAATGCCAAATCAGCTTATTTTGTCATCTTAATTCCGGGTTCAAAATGGATGCGATGCCACTGCTGACAACGTATATCCGTGATAACTAAAGCGCAACCCAGCTACAATGTATAACCATGCAATCGTAAGAGGGGTAGTTATCGTGCGCGAACAATTCTCATGGGAGATAACAAGAGGAATTTCATTTCACCGGTGTTCTGTTCCTCGGCGACTGGACATCCACGAAACACTCAGTTATATTTTCATTCCCGTTTCTTCTGGGCCGACTGGCATCCATCCCGAAATGGAATTAAACATAAATATTCCATGAGGTAACTTTTCCAGATAATTTAGGTACCAGAGACCCGTTGGCCCAGTTAAACA